TTCACGTGACTGAATTATAAGATCGGAAATTTGGCCACAAAACAAAAAAGTGGTGGCTTTAGACTGCGTGCACCATACTATATTTGAATCACAATGTTGAATAAATTTCTTCATGCCAAAATGGAAACAGTAGTATCAAAACATACAGCATACAATATAATTGCGCAATTACACGTTATTCACATGAATACTTATCTTGTATCTCATGACAACCAATCAAAATTTCACCACAACGCTTATGTGTATGCAACATGCATGTAATGTTTGTTGTATATGACATACTGTATATTACTTTGGTACAGACTTTCTATTCCAAATAATCACGGGTGCAATGTAGAAGGTAGAAAGACGTATAGAATTCGTAAAAGTCTGTATTATTGTCACCTTCGTAACCGAATGTCAAGGGTGATCACAATTTCCCCCTCTCAAAACTTCATTGGCATCATTTTATGTTGCCTCTGGGCTATTAAGTCGCCCCGCTCTTCCATCTGAGCCCATTAACCAAAATTCAAAGCTCGATGTTCAAAGCGATGACCAAATCTCTCGCCATTCCTCATTTCGGTTATTCAGACGAGTACATTCTCGTCATCACTCGGTTTATTGACCAAGCAATTGCTTTGTTCTCGTCCTCTGTATGTTAGCAACAAAGGTCCTAGTATTATTGCTTCATACCCGAAACAAACCTTGTGCGCAGGTGTACTGTACGTCTGCTAAGTGGCTTTGAAAATCCTGTGAACATAAAAAGAGCGGTAGAAAGGAAGAGCATACTTTATGGTCAATTGAAAAACGAGCTGAGAACGCTGGAAGTCTTGGGCGTGAAAAAAAATGTAAGTATTATTAATCAGTTTGAATTCATGAGAATGCGATGCTTATATCAATTCGCTTTTTCTAACCCCCCCCCCAACCTTTTATTTCTCATCAGCCGTTTAAATGACGCTTTTCTTCTTTCATGTCTTGCAGGACTTCTGAATTGTCGAATTGAAGGAAATCATTTACGTGATTTTTCCCGTCCCATCTCTCAATCCACTTCACCCACTTACACAACTCACACTCGTGCCATCTCACCTCCAAAATCTTTCTGACGATGAAGGCTCTGAATACGACGATGATGAGGCATGGCCCGTACGAGTTATAATAATTGGTTTATTATTGGTGTGACAAAATTGTTACGTGATAAATTATTACGCCAGCAATGATTACGTGATAGATTTTGTAGTCACGTGGGTTTCAGCTTCAGCATTATGAATCATTATTAGTTGGTCAAATGTAAGGCATAACTTCTTTATATACGTATCTTGTTTATTCTGTTGTTTTTAACAGAAGCAATGTTTATTGTCTCGGTGCCGTCCACATTACCCACTCACTGCTGCCTAATCTTGAAGAGAATCACATTCGTTATTAACGATAAAGTGACAATACCGACGTTATAATATGTATACAATCTTTGAACGCTATTGTCACTATCGTATGTACTATTGCTGTATCGGTATCGCACAATGTTTAAAAAATTCAGTCAAATATTCCTGCAATATATAGAGTAAGCGGGATATAAGTAACATATATACATATTCTATACGATCGAATCACATAATATCTTAATATTTACCTTTAGGTTTGTTTGATAAATAGGATCTTCCCTTAATTCTGCATCGCTCTCTATATCGTCAAAGTCCACGTCTCTATTCAAATAGTCTGCCATACAAACATAAGTATTACAATGTGATATTCATCCTTGTCAACGAAAATACTCATCTCACCTGCGAGCACGACATAATCTTCTTGCGGTGCAAATGGGGACGATTCATCAACGTCTTCCCATTCACCATCCTGAAAATAACTTGGTTTTAACAACTTTCCACATAGTGACAATAAAAGCAAGTCCGGGTCATACTCACATCGTCAACCGACTCGCCACCTTCAACCTCTTCTTCGTCTTCAACGTCTAGTCTTTGAGGTTCAGCAGCACTCTCGTTCTGCAGATCGGACATGAGTAATTTGATAATTCTCACTGACGCAGGAACGATTGTGTATTGATCCGGGTCTGTGAGAATAAATGTAGACGCGCAGATCAGCATAAACAAGTACTGCCAAAGCCTTTTTACTGTGGTGAATTCGACTTACTTTGACGAGCTCTCGATCTTGTCATTATCCCTTATTCAGATTGTTGATAAGTAAGTCAAATTAACCAAACAGAATGTAAAACCAATATATCAAATACATACTGTTTGTATTTGTAACAATTAGATCACCTTGTACTTGAACATTTAATACTCTCGGATCACCCGATAAAAACAATTTAGTTAATGCGATGGCGCTGCATAAATATAAAGCATGAGTATGATCATTGAAACAGCAGCAAACGATTAATGAATTCAAGATAACAATACCTGACTCTCTGACTGTAATATCCTTGGAAACATTCATAATTCTCAAACCACATACTCAACAGTATCTCAAGACCATTCTTCCCATTAATATTAAGATTACTTAAGAAATTAACAACTGTTTCTAACTGAGTAAGAATCAAATGAGCAAATACAATGACCATCGACTGTTTAATAAACAATCAATTAGTAACTAATTGAAAACTCAATTCAGCAATTAGCAAGCGTCATGCTACCTGTATAAATGTAGCCGTCTTGGCGCTCTCCAATTTCATGGCTACTGCTTGCAACAACTCTCCAAGCACAGGAACTATTTTATCGCCAGCTTTTTGAATCAGTTTAACGATAAGCGTCCCAACGAATAATGCAGCTCCTTCCTCTTCAGCTGGCTGAAGTAACCTTGCAATGAACTGTATGATATAATCGAGTCCAGTCTTCCCGTTAGCATCAGTCCTAATTGTAGAATTCAGTCTGTTAGTAACTTAAATGGATAGAAGAATAACTACTTGTATGCAGCTTACCATTGAGCAAGTGCCAAACAATCTTTTTGTACGAAATATTTTAGACACGATTGTCCATTCTAAAAATTGAATTAAAACTAATGAGTAGATAATTCAAGGTTACTGAAGAAATGGTAATTAAAATAATGCCTATTGAGTGACCTGCAATATCTCCCGATCTTCGGTGCTTAACAGCAAACGAATCAACGGCGGAAATACGTATTGTACGTATTCATTTGGTAATGGGGAAGGACCCGCCTTAATGAAACGACTAACTACCTCGATAGCTGACTGTAGAAAGTGTTAAATGGTTAAAACAACTGTTATGTCAAAGTCATGCACCATCATATACATACAGCAGCAACACCAGACTCTGGTGGCTCAGCTATGGCCTTGGCAATATGAGGCAGTGCTCTGGCTTGAAAAGTACTATACGCCGTTGAATTATTAGCCAATGTCTCAAAAAGGTCCACCACTACGGGTTCAATGATTACGTCTAGATCGAGGTATAAAATGGCAGAATGTTAATTATTGAGTGTAAATGTTAGTTAAACATGTATGCTAAAGAGAATATCATACCTGTCGGATGCTTCTCCCAAATATCAATAATCAACGGACCCAGGACTTGTTCATATTGTGCGGTTACAACTGGATCGATCTGCATTTCACGCAAATATTGTGGAGTTCATACGACGGAGTTGCTAATCACTTGGTATTATAACACTGTGACTAACCTTAATCACTTGCTCAATGATCTCAAGTACAAGAACAAGCGAGTCCTCAGACGCGTGACTAAATAAATTAGCTACGCCTTCGATGATATCGGACTGATATGGTTTTACGTATTCTTTGTCCAGCTGCAGGCAAAAGCTGCATATAAAATGTTAATTAAATGCGCTGACCCGGATGGTATGTATAAATAGCAGTCAACTTACTTTTTTAGAGCTTGTAAAGCAGAAACTCTTACTGGTATGGCTACGCTCTGCTGTAATGCAGATACAGCACCAGCAACATATTGAGAGGCTAATTCGGGTGGGAGAATCGATGCAAATTGACCACCAAATACAAGAGCACGACCTTGGAGGAAAGGAAGATCTTGTAACAACCAAATGCAATACAGACAAGACGAGTCGGCGACGTTAGTGACGTAGTCAGATACCACCTAAATATTAACAAGATTCTTTTATTCAATAATAATTACCTGAACAACTCAAATGCCCAATCACTACGTGATTGAATAACCCCATTATGTCAAAATTGATATTTGGATCATTCTCTTTTATGGCGGCCACCAAATCGCTTGCAAGGAATCCCACAGCATTCAAACAAGCTTCTTGTATTTTCCACCTGTATCAGTAAATTCTTATTAATAATCCAAATGTTCCGAGACCTGGCGCATTGAAATGCTCCATCATTACTCGATGAAGCCAACTTTCTCACCATGTCGGGTCTTTAGCAGCGCGAGCACTATTGGATTCATCCAAATGACGTTGAACCGACACAGTTAAAGCATGAAAGGTACGTTCAGGATATTTATCTAATAGTATCTACGTATGTTCATGGTTAGCCTCAAACTCTCCTCACTACAAATGACGATTTCCTAAATAACAGAAGATCTACACTTACGGATAAAAGGTCCTGTGCAGCTACTCTGACGGTGTAGTTGTACGTCTCCTCATCTTCGTCGGCTATGAACTGATTGGCATCATTAATCCAAGCATCAGCCTTGTCGAACGATAAAGAATAAACTTTAGTTTCATGAACGAAAAAACTCGGCATTGTCATAGATATACCAACCAACCTGCTCTTCCGTGATCTGCATATAATGTATAAGTATCCAAAGTACTTCGTTCAGAAAAGCACCATTATCATTGGTCCCAGCAAATAAAACACCTGTTGTCTTTTTGCGAATAGATAGACCAACGAATTCAAATTGTGCGTACAGAAGGTATTCAAATCCAATCACACCGCCATCAGAGTCTTGGCAGAAATTAACACCTTCTCCCGATTCTCGTACATACTTGTCAACAAATGTGATATACAAGCAAATGCTAAGAATAAGAATAATCAAAATGCAAGAGGCTGTAGCAAACAAAAGAACATATATTAAGGATATCTTTCACGTTGTCGTACGATATCTGTCCATATTAACTCCAACAACGACACAAGATATGGTGATAATAATTTAGCAAAGTTTTTTGTCAAGAAATTCAAACACTAGAAAGACAGTAAAGCAATAAAAAAACTTGATGACATTAGTAACCGTCATATCTGCATAACCATATATATCAACTTAACAAGATCCTTACCTTTATTACATCCAGCTTCAATGCATATTCTTCATATTCACTCTCTTGATTTGCAGGCAAAGCCTCTCGCAATATATTGACAAATGTCTGTATCCATTCAGGTATTATTGGTTTTAGAAAACTATTGATGACTTCAGGATGTTCTTCCTTCAACATAAGCAGTATTTCCAAACTTTGTTTGAATACTGCTGCTACACGGCCGCGTGTCCTACAGGAGTAGACCTTCGTCATGGACCTTTATTGTTAGCCCAAGCATTAGCAAGTGAGCAAATGTCGCAGAACATAATTTGTAGTACCTTGTCTGCTTGTAGAATCTTTAATAATTCTGGAAGCATAGTGGTTGCAATCTGCGGAAACTGTATATCCGTAATATCGTACTTTATAAACTCTGAAATTGGCATGTAGTTAGAACAGAGATTAGCGTTATGTTTCGATTTCTTTCGAATATAATTCACATTCTCACCGGCAAGCACTCTCATAGCCCCATGTACTTGATCAGGGGACCCTGTCTTCAAGTTGGAATTCAAAAGATCAAGGAGGTTAGGCCAATATTCAGGCCAGTCGTCATGCGCTATCTTGGACGTTACATATGCCTAATTCAAATCATATTAACAAATGAGATCATGGGCGTTTTTTGTTTTTCTTCCAATAGTCAGAAAAAGAAACTCGTTCAAAGCCGATAGAGGATAATTACACAGGCAACGCGTATTTTATGCGATGGATCAGAAAGACCATTGAACATCAGTTCCCGCACGATCACTTTCGCCTAGAACAGAAACAACAGATAAATGGATGTTAAACGCGTATCCGTGAAAAACGATAATTGATTACGACCGTCAGTAAATACATTGGTTAAAGCATACTTCCTCGCCTGGTTCAGGTCCTATAAAATCCTCCTTATCGCCACGCGAAGACCAATGTGTGGTAACATAATTTCTTAGATTAATTGCGGCCATGTAAAGACACGATCAAATATCAATGCTAAGGATGTGCAAGTATGTACAGGTCAATGCTATATTCGATGAGGGTCAACTGCAAAGGATATTTGTCTCTGTGGAATTCCAATATCTTGGACAAGTGCCATTCTGGCCAAACTAACGGGATATTCTAAAAAGCCATAGCATATCAGCGTTGTTATAACCACCAAGCACGCGTCTCTTTTCAATTAATGCTAACCTGACAATTGTTCCAACTCTCTTATTCTCTGTTCAGCCGTTACCCTTATTTTTTCGTCGCTCGAAAGGGCTTGTGTCAGTACTTCAAAAACTGCTTGGTCCATGTTGTGACTAATGTGTGGGTGTGGATGCTGCGCGCGTTCAAAACAGTAAAGGAGATTCAGCCGACAGGAAATCGATTCAAGTGATTTTTTACCCGGCATCAAGTATGACTATTACGGGATGTCACACCAAATTGCAGATCGCAAAAAATACTCGTCGTCATTATGATACTTCTCCAAAAGGTGTGCTTATACCAGTTGTTTTTCCTCTAATCCACCCACTTATAACTATACCAAGAAATGTAACATGAAAATTTACCATCATTATCTCAATCGCATCATTTATAGTTTCATTTCAATGTCGTAATTATTTCTAGTAAGATGAGCTTAATCAAATCTCTCAATCAGTTAATGACCAAATTGGGTAGATTGTCAGTCGTCCATAAATCAGACGAATTAGAATGCTGGTGCTGTATTTGCAAAGTCACGAATATAGTCTTAGAGGGAGGCCTTGTGGTAAAGCCAGTATTTCTTTTCGATTGACAGTAATAATTATACACGTCGTTATACTTCATTTCACCATATTTATGATTAAATTAGCGTTAGGTCTGTGTTTATTATAGTTGAGTGACTTATTTACATCTCCCCACTATCACATGTGAAATTATATTAAAACACTAGACTATTAATTCAGCTATTTAACAAGACATGTTAACAAGAATGCAGTGTCAAAGTACTTTGCGTGACTAAGAATAGTCAGATTCAATGGTTTTTGCGAGGCAGAACAATTATCGCCACCAAGTTGTTGACATTCCACCACTTGATTATCGGGATTAATCCAGAACTCTGGTGCGGTGTGAGCATACCCAAATGATTCGGGAGCAAGGTGAGGAACGAGATCATTCTTATTCACAAGACGATAGAGTTTAATCGGCAGAGACTCGACATGGTTGACAAAGACGTCGTTCCCAGTGCGCGGTTGACCGTATGTGAATGTCATCAATTGATCGGGCGACAATCCAGGTGTGTCAAGTAAGTCCAAAGTCTGAAACAGAGCCAGCGATCCTCCAAGACTGTGACCAACACTAATGACATTGTAGCCGGGATTCTGAGCCACCTGATCCTTTACGATTTGAGTTATTTCGTCTCTGGTGTCGTTGTACACAGCCAAGAATCCAGCATGTACCTTGGCGCCAGGAACACCCGGAAAGGGTGTTTCAAGAAATTTGAGATCACTGATAAACGACGGAACGTCTGCTGTGCCTCGGTAAGCGACGATAATAGATTTAAACTTGTCATTAACTGCAACAAAACCGTTGTTGTCATTTGGTTTGGATTTGTTAAAGAATTTAATCAAGCGAGTGCCTGCCGTGTCTCCTCTGCAAGCCTTCCCGCAATCCCAGTTTGTCACGTTGCAATAGGCAGCACTGGATTAGAGTGAAAGTGATTTTTAGTTAGGATGAAACATTACAAAGCCGATCGTATATCCGACTATCAGAATTGCCATTTTTTATCGTTTAATTTTCTATGTAATTACCTGGCAAATTGAGCCCATAATTTAAAGTCATCGACCAACGCTGTTGGAACGGGTACTTCACTTGTACTATTATCTCGCTTATACGCAACGGGCGATGCATTGACAACGAATTGATCAAATGCTACGGAAATGAGCACTAGCAAAAACATTAATCTGATGTTTAACATAGTCATCTTTAACAAAGGTATTAATAAGAGGTGTAATAATGTGAACAAGAATTAGTCGGAATTTAGGTATTAGGTGTAAAAATTTAAAAGTTAAAGAATGAAATAAAACCACTCCTGCTTCTCAATGGGTTAATATTAACACAGAGCAAAAGAATGTGGCTACAATTATTTTAATACGAATTATTATTATAGGGAACCCAGCCCTTTATGTTTGTAGATTAGCTCGGTGTAGAGCGAGAACGGAGTGGTTTGAGTGAGAAAAGGAAGGTATTAGGGAGCAATGAGACTGTTGAATGCGCGGCAATGAAGTTTTTAGATCCGGAAAAGCGGCGATATTTATAAGTGTTTGTTCATCTTCATGTGTACAATCGTTAAAGCGTACATTTATGCAGGAAATACCATAGTTGGCGAGATCATCAAAAACCTATTTGTTACAATGATTATTAGACAAATTAGGAAATCGAACATTGCAGAATAAAAGAGTAAGAAGAATGTAGGAGAAATGCTTAGTGTCAGAGCAAGATAGCCGACCGGCGAACACATGAAGGAAAAGATGGAGGGAATCGATGCAAGCGGATGTGTTGTATATATGCGTAATAATACTCTTTTCATTGGCATAATGCTTGACATTAATTCGAATGGGCATTGTCGAAGCGTGGATCTTTTCCTTGTCATCCGCATTTACAACGTTTTGATTGGTCAGTTTAAGCATACGCAATGCAGTATATAAACCCTTTTTCTGGAAGAAGTAAACAAAGGAGATAAAATGAAAATTTAATCTCGGATAAATTTATGGTGATGGCTATAAACGGACAATGACTTTTATTATTTGCACGTGTGGAACCAAACATTCGGGTCAAAGCATGCAAATCGTTTACGCCGAATATCGACATTTATTATTACTTGCTATACTAATCCGGCATGTCAAACAACGGGAACACAAGAACAACAGGCGAACTTCTTTTGGTAAAGACTATATTCTTTGTTGTCGAGAGGAGCAAAGGCAAAAAAGTTAAAAACCTTTTACCTCATCTGTTTGATGGGAAATTCGCAAAATCTACATTACACCATATCTCCTCAAAAGACAATTGGTGTCGGACTCTAGCAGTAAACATTCATGTGATCTCTGAAAGCTCGCAAGAGTGTGATAACGAGATGTTGAACAGTCATGCTACGTGAGCAGCGTTATCTGCTATCTGCCATGTCGTAACGGCGCAAAGCTTAATCATAAGGATCAATATTAGACCGTATGATTACTTATGCTCCAAATAAGTGTTACTGCTTATGAATTAATGTTCTCCTCGGAAGTGAAAATATGCTTAAACACGAACTATCGAGTTTACGTACAGATTGTCTGCTTCGAATTACAATCATTGTGTAATTTGCGTTAACGCAACTGCACGTGTTATTGTCAGGGTCATGTTTGCTAAATAAAGATGACAACCGTAAGGTTCGGATGTGGATGGTATCGCAAAAAGCTGACAGGTCACCAATATATGATACTCGTAATATACACCCTTGCATTGATGGGGTGGTGTTCCAAATTTGCAGCCTTTAGCCTAATATCACCATACAGCTTGCAACAGCACAAGGTTATGTTTATTATCTGGTTGTTTTTATCGAACAACAGCCAAATCAACGATGGGAAAACAATAAATGTCCAATAAAAAAACCAATTTAACCAAAACTTGTTCAAAACGGGGGAAAAAAATAACCAAAAATATCAAATTCATCAAGTTTCGACTCATCTATAACATTAATCTTTTTTCATAATCATATGATTCTGCCTTATCCATCCAGTTGTTATTTCCCAACTGATACACTACCCGTCTCAGCTTTCCGCTTAGCATCCTTTCGTGCTCTAGACTTTCGAGCTTTTCGGGCCGGCTTCTCTATAGCTGCTGATTTGTCTTCAGATTTAACTTTGCGTTTTCTCTTACGACGAGATGGTTTTTCTTGTTTCTCTGTTTCAACAGACTGAATGACTGTGTTACCAGAGTGTTTGAGGAGTAAAGAATTGGAGGATGGCTGTATTGTATTGTCAATCGTCATCTGTGAAACCTCTTTATTGGCAGACAAATGCTGCTGGGCGTTATCTTGCAAGCTACCGATATCATTAATGTTAAGGTTTGCATTCGTTCTTGTGTTAGTGTTAATGTTAGTGTTAGTGTTATTGTTAGTGTTAATGTTAGTGTCCATCAAATGATTGTGATTTATATTATGATTTGCTTGGCTGACTGTTGCAGTATTTTCTTGCTTTATGATATTTTGAGAGTGTTTGCTCTTCAATAGCTCCGTATCGCGTAGCTTCTTTTCCTCTGCACGTTGTTTCTGTCTGAGTTGCAGCGCTGTTTCCAGAACATATAATTAGTGCAACCATATCTGAGCATTACCTAATGTTAAACCCTACAACCTATACTATCAACCTATACTAATACTATTACTATTAGCCTATAATAAGAATAGTCGCTTTACGACACAATAATAATAACAATAAACCCCCATAATAATCTGTAATAACTGTTATTATTATGTATTACACCGAGTATAATCGCACCATTAACAATATTCAAATTGCAGTAAACTACTATTATGAAACAGCCAGTAATACCATTAACCCTTATAGAGACGAACATCATTCCTCAATTGCTCTCCTCATATCAAATTCCTGCTTACCCATTGCCTCCAGCGCAACTTTCTCCTGCCACCTTCTTATCCACATCCACCAATCGTTTGCATTTCCTTGCTGCTTTCCGTAGAACATTCTTATCTGATCGAAAGTGCCCAAATGATTATTCTCCGGCACTACTTTATTATTATAATCAGGGACAGGCAATTTCTTTGGCTGTGTGAAAAGATTAACAACTCTAGGATTGCATGGTGATATTGAGCGGTTCATTGGTAATGTAAAACAGCAGAGTATACAAATCGAATAATATATTTAAAATTAGGACTAAAGAGTCGTATTATGATCAAAGGGTAAGTTTGGAAGCTAGCTAGCTGTTGTGTCCAGAACGACAATAATATACTTAGGGGCTGAGCCTGCTGATTTACGCCGACGGAGTTTCACGTGCGTTGCGATTATGGATCAATTATCATGCTAGCACGTGTGTGAAGATATTTACGCGTTTTATTTTCTTACTAGTGTCATATTAATATACTATTTTCGTCACGCGGATAACATATTAAGATGTAACATGAGTGCATGTCCTATAGTTTGCGAGTATTATGAAGAGAAAACGTGACCATCCTTCCTAAACCATTATAAATTAATTCTGTCCCTCAACCATTTTGGGTCCAAGTTTTAACCAGAAATTAAGGCCAACAGCTACAAATAGCGAACCACAAACAAGGGTTGGGGTAACCAAATCATCTGCAAAGAAATAACGATTTACGTATTAATATAATCTCGTAATAGATGAAACATGCCGCAATAGTTCATTACCAGAATTTCATAAACTTACCATATGGTCCACCATAGCTAGACTTGATCATTACAGTCCTCTGATGAAACCGGATCAACGCATAGAACAATACAGATACACTGATTAGACTATACAATAACCCACAAAGCCTTCCAATAGGTTCTTCTCCTCCAGCATTGAACAAGGCCAACGCAAAAGTACCCAGCAACACGCTAAACCTCAACCATGCGAAGAACGTTCTCTCATTGGCCAAGTAAACTTTGGGCTCTACTCTAGGCGCTTCTTTGGATTTTTTCGGGGGACTAATACCCGGAGGCAATTTCACCGGAGATGGCGATCTGCGTTGAGATTTTGTAAATAATCGCCTAATCGTATCCAGAGATAACGGGCTCGAAGAGGAAACTCGATCATTTAGATGGGTGCTTTCCTGATACGGTTCGTCTTCCGAAGAGGGTGAGTAAGCCACAGCTTTGCCTTTGTCTTTCTTTTTGCGCTTTCTTTGGGAATTATCACCAACAACTTCTACGTAAATCGGTTTGGCGTTACGTGAGGGTACATGCCGTGAACGTGCTTGTGGTTGGATATTTAATGGTTTGGAGGTGGAAGTGGAGGGTGTTTCGTCATCATCAGAGTCGTAAGATGTGGTGCGATCGTTTGGCGGTTTCAAAATGTCCTTGTCAATATTTGGAAGCTATATTCATAAAGATTAGGATTGAGACGCATAATATGTATCAGAAATTGATTGGGGATTGGGAATGGGAAAACGCAAATAAATTAAATAATGTGACAGTACCCAGAACGGTAATGATGGCGCTTGAGATGTGAATAAGGTCGCTATACCATGGACATACTTTGAAAACTGTGGGGCTTCCTCGACCTACATACAAATCGTAAGCAATTCATTCGTTAGAAAATGCCCGCGTTAATTGATGGTCTGAAACTGATTTGCCTTCTGACGGGTTTGGTTTGTTCTCCCATCAATCTACCTCCTAACTCACCAAATGACTCTTCATCAGCTCCATAACCCATGCAGGTTCTCGTTCGCCTGCTTCCAAATTCAACTTTACTTCCAATACCGCATATGGGAATCTCACAATGTCCGAAGCTGGTAGTTTATTAAACGGATAATTTTCTTCATCCATATCGGGCCGGTGCCATTTGTCTTCAGGACGTCGGATAGTATCAAAGTTATCTTCTCTTAGCAAGACCAAATTGGTATCGAGAGTAATACGCACGTGGCCATCACCCGGTATTTGGAATGCCATGCGATTGTAATGTGAGCAAAGGACTGAAGAGAAGAGAGAATGTTAGAAAAAATATCCTCGTTTCTAACACACGGTTGTTGTAATCACTTACCAGGCTCAAGGTCTTTTCGCTTGATCATAGTTTGAACGTCGGCGACAAACTCTTTGAATCGCTCGATATCTTGCTCAGACTTTCCAGGAATCTCTCTCATCTTTTCGATCCTCTTTTCCAGCGACCACGTCCCATTCAAGAACGCGCTCATGTTCTTGTCCTTGACCATAAATCTATCTTTGATCTCTTGCTCTCCTTGTTGCCTAACTTTCCTCTCGACAAATATCTTCTTCGCATGCTCTTTTGACCCGTACCACCGCAGCCTTATTAGTTGCTCCCCGTCCTTGTGGTCAATTTTATCCTGGTACAACTCAAAGGACTGATTGTCGAAATAGACCGAAGTTATCGACGAATCCGAACTAGTTTTATATATTAATACGGGTAAATGGCGAAGGATGGTGGTACGGACTTCCATAATATTGTTGGGATGAACCCAGAATTTGTACGAGTGACGCGAGATCCGTTCTGTATGGGGAGGATGCCATGATGACGAAAATGAGAACGAGGGTGTGGAAGAGATCTGTGATGACATCTGATCTATTCCAAGACCGGTATGAACTATATGGTAAAGACGGGAGAGTTGGACTATGATCGGCTCGTACGTCTCTTTATAGAACGGTTTTGCGTTTAGACGAACGTTAAACATTGGCCTAAGAATGTAACGGGTCCGTCTTTTCGAGAAAGAATAGGAGAATTAGAAGGGGGACGTTTATTAAAACAAGTATATAAAACGCGAATTATGCATATTTACCTATCGTGCTTCTTGACAATTTTTATAATGCCTGTATAATTCAGTCTCGCATACTTGGCCAACTCGTTCAATTCCTCGGTGATGGCATTGATTTCACGTTCTACTTCTGCATATCTATCCGGAACATTCATTGGGGGACTTTTATTTATTGATGCTACGGCTTTTTCACAGTTCTGAACACGTTCTTGGATCTCTTCGTATTTTGCAAGCCGAAAATTATATATCTATAGATACCCCAAAGATTGAATGTGAATCAAACGTACAGTGAATTCTTAGAATCCCTGTCATTCGCATGCATACCTTCACCAACTCTTTATCCAATTTCTCCACAAAATCGCTCTCGTCCTTCTCCGTATACCCTCTTTCCTGCTTCTCCCCTCTCTTCAGATGTTTTTTCAACCCGTCATAGTCAAGATAGTACTCTGCCCACTCTCTATACAAAGAGCCCTTTAACTGTGATCCGAATTTCATGTTGAGGTTTATAGTCGTTGAAAACTCGTTAAGGCCCGCTTTATTTATTTGTTACTTACTATAGGGAATAATATTTGGGTCGCACGAACGGCTACTGTTGGCGTTTCAACGAGAAACGATATTCCGTTGATTCAGAAATGTTTGCCAAATATGGATATGTTACAAGCGAGGTATCAAGAAACACGGTAGGATTGACATGCTTATCAAATATGCAGGTAGTTCAAAAATCACCAAGTTTATTTTCACTGGCCTCCAAAACATCTGATTAAAATCGTTATCTCGGCAAAGAGATCGTTGATTGACCAATAGTGTAACAGGGAATGTTAGGGTTCTATGTGGGAAATCTAATTATTAATATAGCAATAATAGTGGTCCAATAACGTCACAATGTAACACCACATGCATCGCAACATTTTTTACGCCCTGGCAAACCGATATCTATACGGCTAATGGTTGATGAATCGAACCGCACAAATCCATCAGAGGACCAGAAACCAACACGAGATTACATAGATTCATACATAGATTCATTGGATTCCTCGCTAGGCGATTTTTTGAAAAAATCGCAACCAAAGTATGACCCATCACTAAACTCTGATTTACCCTCGACTCCTCCGCCCTCCAACGCTTCTGAATCTGCCGAATCAAATGCTCGGACTTGGACGGATAACAGCCCCAAATCAGATAGATCTTTTCTGTTGGATATTGCTGATGCCCCAACCATTAATCCTCTGCTCTTTGAAGATAACAAGATTATTAGGGATAACCAGCTACAAGAGAAAATAGATGATAAGCCTGATAGCATTGCACCAAATGTAAACAAAGGGATATTTGATCAGAAACGTGAGATCCATGAAGCAGCCTTGTTGAACTGTTCAGATCTTCATTCAGATTTGCAAGAATGTTTTATAAAAGGAAGTTGGTTCGATAAAGCAACTTTATGTCATGGAGCCAGAAGGAAATTTTGGAAATGTTTCGACGATCAAAAGGTCAGTAGCGAAAACAATATCTTAAAGAGGGAGGGGGTGGGCATTTCAAATTGTACAATAGTACATGATATGTTTCTTTTCAGGTGATACTAAAAGACTTGGGATATGGGGCACCATATAAGACAAAGGAACAAAATGAGCGTACGCTATGGGAAGCTGATCGCATCGGGCAAAATGATTCTGCAAAACAACAAGACGCCTAATATTATAGAATTCGTTACAAGAATAAAAATAAAGTTTATTTCGTGACGAAACTAAGACTGATAAACTCCCAATTTAATTTTTCCTCTACGGCCAATAACACTATAATGTTTTTTACCGTAATATCATTGTGCATCTTTTGTATGAACATTCGAACAGTAAGGTAATTAATTAGCGTAATGCCACATCCATCGAGATCACGCCGGCCCTTTTTTTTTCGCTTGAATCCGAGCTTGAGATAAATTCCATAAATTGTTATATGTAATCTTAAAACAATGCAGAATCAAAAGTGCACATGTCGAACACATACAAACAAATATCTACTTTCTTCTTCTAACTTTTGTTATCAATCTTGTATCATGTGACACAACGTTTCTGATTTCACTGTTGACCTTGTATCTGATGTAGTGAGTTTTTACCAACTGTTTCTCAGCACACTACAATTGCGTAAATATGATATGAGAAATGTATTGCAATCCTTATTTATAGCACGGATTCGCCCTGAAACGCAATAACAAATATTCGACTTACCGTAATAACGAACCTCTTTAAGAAACAGAATTGGCTATTGGAAGTGGCTTTGTGTAAAGTAGTAAACATTAAAAATTTATCTGCATAGGCCCATTAGATACTAAACATTAATTACCTTCACTATTTGCCTTCATTATCTGCAAATTTTGATTACGCGCACTCATATGTCCGTACGAGTATCGCTCACTCACACACTCTCTTACCTTACTTAAAGCCTTACACCTTCTTCATGCATCTTATTCCTAAAAAACCCCTCTAGCTCATCTGCTGCGGCATAATAAAGTGTATTTTTTGCATTATACAGCCGACAGTTGTCAAATATTTTCTGTACATCATCTGCAAACTGCTTTATAGTCTGGTACTTGTCATTTTTCAGATTTTTCTCGAGAGTCGAGAGATCCATTGGCTGTTTAATTACATCATAATAATCAGAAACGATTTTCGCGTCTACTGGTTCTCGAAACGGCCATGCACAATTTTGCTCTTTCAGTGCTTCCAACACAGTGACCATGATCCTGTAGTGAGGAAGACATATAGTCTTTCGTGCGCGCATCTCCATCTCCGGGGTCCATCCTGCTTCCTTTACTCCAGGAATAGATAGCGGATCGAATAATTTCCCATCACCCTTGGGAAACTTCAGCCCTTGGTGTACCTTAACATAAGCGTATCTTTCTTTAAGTTTTTCCTTCACCGCTAGGCGCTGAGATTCAAGTGTCTGTCGTGCCTCTACATACTTCACTTTAGGAACAAGGCGGGACTGGTATGTTTGCGTGTGTTGACGTAAGAGCGTGCAAGACGAATTAAATACGGTAAAAGACGAATCGAACACAAATGGCAAGACAATGATTCGCGATAAAAGTCAAATACCTGCATCAGCGTTCCCCCCGTATAGTCCTTTATATGCTTTGCCCATATCGAATACTCTAGAGTGATTTCTGTGCTAAATCCGTTCCTCTTAAAAAAACCAATGGCCAGATCATCCGCATACGTTAGGAAATGGGTTATATCCGAGTGAGTTGTTATATAGTCCTTGAATTGATTCATTAGACGCGAACCGTAGCCTTTCACTTGTTCGTCGGAATCGACAGCACAAAAAACAATCTCTGCGAACTTTCTCTCAAGAAAAGGGCGATAAGTTATTGCACCAAGAACCTTTGTTGTAGAGCTTTTTTTCTTCACTATCATACTACGATGGTTGAAATCGTACACTACTCGCGTAATGTAAGTCTTGGGCATGTTTGGCAGTTGAATGAAGAACAAATTTTTAACGCTAGTGAGCAATATCAACGATTCTGGCTTTCTATCATTATATATATTTAAGAATTCGATCTCCTCGGACTTTCTCAGAGAATCTTGCTTGGACTCCATCGTTAGTTGTTGGACTAAGTGAACAAATAATAACGCCACGAACGGATTCAGGGGTTCGACAATGATAATAATGATTATAAGCCACAATACTCGCCACCGACTAAAACAGCAGAAAAATAATCTTGCTGTATGTTATGGCTGCAACAAAGTGAACATTTTATTATGTGACATAAATGAGAGGCTGCTGTGGCTGAAAGTTGACTAATTTGACTAATTATAATAGCATTTTGATTATCACAGCAATAACTTTACACAAATTTATGTACATAATCTTATCGACAACTATTACTATGATCAATATACGTCATAAAGGGCAATTGGTTTTAATAATTTACAACCGAATCATATTGAACGTTCGACAATAGATTTGCGAGAAATGTTCGAATAAATCACATGTTGCAGTTATATGCTGCAAAGTAAGAGACAACAATGCAACACAATACAAAGTTGTTTGGTTTTTTTTTTTTTTGACGGAAAAACAAAATTCTGACTCTTAATTATTGGCTTCAGCCCCAAAAAGGAAAGTATTATTATATCAGAAAATATACAGGAGAACCAGAGCTTTTAAGTGATATAATTTATTGCATTTTGTTTAGTAAAATTTTGAATAAATGCCATAAAGTTTTAGATTTAAACTCGAGCATAGTAATAGGTTTTAAGTTACTAAATAAATTGACTAGTATTACACAATTTTTAGTATTTTGTCTATTTTAACGAAATACAATTATAATGAAAAATATACGGGAGAAGTAGAGCTTTTAAAACTTAAATTTTATTAAATTTTATATTAGTAAAATTCTGAAATAGACAGCCTGAAAGTTTTGGATTTAAACTTTTGTCCATCAAGTGTATTAGTATGTAGTCACACTTCCCAGATTCAGGATGAACATATGGAGTGATATAAAAGCACTGTAAATGTTTGCAAACTATACAACAAAACTGAATTCTATACTCTTGGAAAAGTGACTGCTATCTTAATATTAATTGCTTTTATTTTAGAACAAATAACAATAAATATAAACTCCCCATCTATCTCATTTATCCTCTTGCATGTCAGCAGCAGTGATTGTTTCATCTGTTGGTATGCTGTGGCCTAGTCTCTTTTCCTTCCACCTTATATGTCCATCATAAACATGTCCAATAATATTAGAAATCAAGATAATAGAGGGGGGTGTACGTACATTAAGTATGACAATACATTTACAACTTTTTTAAGAGATACGGAATACTCATAATACAGATATATGCCTTGACGCTATATGAAGTAAACTTACCTTGACTTTGACTTTGTTTGGCAGAGAAATGAAGACCTCCATATTGCTACTGCAAACATACGTAAATACTGACTGTCCAACCTACTAAATAAAAAAATGGTTTACCATCTTAAAAATGGAACAAAAGGTGAATATAATGGACCGTAGACCCTGAGAGCGCCTTTATATAAATTATTCAATACATACTTATTAAATTGTTTTAATTCGAAACATTATTGTATTTGATTGATTATGATGGACGGAAGTTGTCTACGGACACGTTGTCCACTTTGTCAAGGTTTGCAGTAACGGCACCCATCATAATGATTATCAATGTCTTTTATACCTCTCCGACAGGAATTGAATTCTTGGATGAATCAGAGATTGCTAATTTTGTAGTAATACAGTATATTGATTTGAGCGATACTGAAATCTCATTATTATTAGTTGAATAAATATGTACGGACTATGTCAGTGCATAATTAACAAAATAAATTATTTGATCGTTTGCACTATATGTAATTTGTAACGTTAATATTTAAGATTACCGAAGACTTCCTGCAACGCGTCGAAGTTGCACAACTTTTTATTCGTCGATCCCTATATGGAAATACCGTATTTCTCCGACACGAATACCCCGGGTATTCCCCTTGTTCGT